TTGATTTAGAGGGTTTTCCACGTAAAATATTGGTGTCTTGATTTATTTGCATTGTGGTTGCATTGGTTGATTTGTCGTTGATTAATGTTGCTAGAGAACATATTTTGTGATATAGTTGTTCCCATAATTTTTGACAGGAGTTATAGGGAGAGAAAGAACATCGATTGTGTTTCTGCTTGTGTTTGGTTGTTCGATTTCTTCCCCAACAAACTAGTATTAGAGCTTGATTATTTATCAATTTTGGTAGAATAAATTTGCATCTTCCGATTTTTGTTACTCAAAACCCGATTCGAAAAGTGATGAGGAATGGGAATTTGAGCATCAACAAGTGTGTGGCTTTATTTGAAAATTTGTTGAAGAAAATGTTTACAACCACATTGATCAAGAGACACATGCTCACATATTGTGGGAGAAGCTTGAAATCTTGTATGCTTCGAGGTCGGACAACAACAAGTTATTTTTAATAAAGAAGATGATGAAATTGAAATACAAAAAAGGAACATCTATATTTGACCATGTTAGTGAGTTTCAGAGTGTGATGAATCAGTTTCTTGGTATGGACATCAAATTTGATGATGAAATTTTAGGGTCTTGCTTGCTTGCTACTCTACCGGACTCTTGGGAGATATTTTAGGTCTCACTAATTAATTATACTCTACGGGTATTATTACTTTGGATTTTGCTAAGAGTGGTGTGTTAAATGAAGAGGTTAGAAGAAGATCTCAGGGTTTTACATTACAGTCTGAGGTATTGGTTACCGAGAATAGGGGAGAAATAGAGATAAAGATGGAAAATGTAGAGATAAAAGTCGAAGCAAGTCAAGATCGAGATACAAAAATCTTGAGTGTCATCATTGTGGTAAGAAATGTCATATCAAGAAATATTGCTTCAAGTGGAAGAAAGAGAACAAAAGTGGTGGTGATAAACACGATCGAAAGGATGATGAAAAATTTGAGTGTGTTGCAATAGTTCATCGTGATGATCTGTTGGTTATTTGTGATGAGAATTTGGTTAATCTAGCATGCAAAGAGATAGTTGGGTGATTGATACTGATGCTTCACTTTATGTCACGTCGAGGAGGGATTTCTTTACATCTTATATTGTTGGTGATTTTGAGGTATTAAGATGGGTAATAAAGATTTGGTTCCGATTATTGGCATGAGGGATGTTAGTTTGGTGAGTAACAATGATACAAAGTTAACTCTAAAAGATGTCACACATGCACTGGATATTCGTTTGAATTTGATTTTGGCAGGAAAGCTTGATGATGAGGGATTTTGTAACTCTTTGAGTAAGGGCCAGTGGAAGCTGACTAAAGGTTCTTTGGTTGTGGCTCGAGGAAAGAAGAACTCAGATTTGTATTTGATGCAGGCTTCGACTTCTGGATACACTATGAATGTGACAATGGATGACAACTCAACTGAGTTGTGGCATAAACGACTTAGTCACATAAGGCAGAAGGGGTTTAATTGTTTAACTAAGAAAAATAAACTTTCGTCTTTGAAGAATGCTACACTGAAGAATTGTTTTCATTGTCTAGCGAGGAAGAAAAGAAGAGTTTCTTTTAGAAGTTGTCATCCTCATAGAATATCAGGGTTTCTATAGTTGGTCTATTCAGATGTATGCGATCTGGTAAAGGTAAGGTCACATGATAGTGCACTTTATTTTGTGACTTTCATTTATTATTATTCAAGAAAGTTGTGGGCCTATATGTTGAAGTCAAAAGGCCAAGTTTTTTAGGCGTTTAAACAATTTCACATATTACTTGAAAGAGAAACATTGAAGAAGTTGAAGTGCATTTGTAATGATAATGGTGGCAAGTATACATGGTCATTTCATGAGTACTGTTTGCGGCAGGGAATTAGACATTAGAGGACACCACCAAAGGCTCCATTGTTAAATCGATTAGCTAAAAGAATGAATCGAACATTGATTGAGAGAGTCAGATGTTTGTTGTCAGACACAAAGTTGCCAAGATCGTTTTAGACTGAAGCTTTGGATACAATAACACATGTGATTAATTTGTTTCCTAGTGTTCTGTTGTGAGGTGATGTACCGGATGTAGTTTGGTTTGGTAAAGACGTGTCATATGATCACCTTCGTGTGTTTGGTTGTAAAGCATTTTTTCATGTTCCAAAGGATGAAAGATCCAAGTTGGATGCCAAGACTCGATAATGAATCTTTATTAGTTATAGTCTAGATGGTGAGTTTGGTTATAGACTCTATGATCAAGTTCAGAAGAAACTTGTGAGAAATCGAGTTGTTATCTTCATTAAGTATCAGACCATTGATGACATTAATAAGACATAGAAAGTGGATTCACAAGATATGGTAACTTAATCTGATTCCCCTAGACCTTTCACCAGATCCTATTTAGGATGATGTGCATGGTGATGTTCATGATGACCTGCAAGATATAGGTGACTTTGATGCTCCCATGGATGATGTTCTGAATGATTAACAACAAGCACATATAACTCCACCAGCAAATCCACTTCAAAGGTCTTCTAGAGATTGACGATCTTCTGTCAGGTATTCTTCTGATAAGTATGTTCTTTTGGCTGAAGAGGGAGAACCTGAATGTTATGAAGAGGCTATGGAGAGTGAATGCAAATATCAGTGGGTTGAAGCGATGAAAGATGAACTTTAATCCTTGCATGAAAACCATACCTTTGAGTAGGTGAAACAACCTAAGGGTAAAAGAACTTTGAAGAATCAGTGGGTTTACAAGATGAAGCAAGAAGAAAAGTCTTCATCTCCACGATACAAAGCTAGATTGGTCGTTAAGGGTTATACTCAGAAAAGGGGATTGATTTTGAAGAAATATTTTCCCCGGTTGTGAAGATGTCCTCTATCAAAACTATAATGAGTTTGACAGCTTGTTATGACTTGGAGGTTGAACAAATGGATGTGAATTTTTTTTCTTCATGGTGATTTGGAGGAAGAGCTTTACATGGAGCAACTAGAGGGATTTGTTGCACAAGGGAAATAGGACTACATGTACAAGTTAAAGAAGAGCTTGTACTGTTTGAAGCAAGCTCCAAGGCAATGTTACAAGAAGTTTAAGTCTTTTATGGGGGAGCAAGGTTACAAGAAGACTACTTCTGATCATTGTGTGTTTGTTAAGAGATTCTCTGGTCATTATCCTTTTGCTCTATGTTGATGATATGCTTATTGTTGGTTGCAATGCTTCTAAATCGAGAAGTTTAAGCAAGAGTTGAGTAAATCCTTTGTAATGAAGGATTTAGGGCCATCAAAGCAAATTCTTGGCATAAGATTGACACGTGATAGAAAGTCCAAGAAATTATGGTTATCACAGAAGAGGTACATTGAGAAGGTACTTCAAACATTCAGTATGGACAAAGCTAAAGTGGTGAATAATCCCTTTGCTATGCACTTTAGATTGAGTGTTAACCATAGTCCTTCCACATAAAATAAGAAGGAAGAGATGCAAAAAGTTCCTTACTCTTCAGTCATGGGTAGTTTGATGTATGCAATGGTATGCACGAGACCGAACTTGACTTATGTTGTTGGTACAGTTAGTCGGTTTCTTTCTAATCCAGGCAGAGAGAGCATTGGAATGTAGTGAAGTGGATCATGAGATATCTATGTGGTAGTTCCAACTTGAAACTTTGTTTCAATAATGAGAAACATGTTCTTGTTGGATATACAGATTCATATATGGATAGAGACATTTACTCGATGAGTCTACTTTAGGTTACTTGATCACTTATGTAAGGGGAGTTGTGGCTTGGAAATCAATATTGCAAAAGTGTGTTGCATTGTCCACTATCGAATCAGAGTCCATTGTAGTGACCAAAGCGTGGATGCTTTGGATGAAGATATTTGTGCATGAACTTGGTTTTACTCAGGAGAGGTACGTCCTATATTGCAATATCCAGAGTGATTCATCTTGGTAAGAACTCAAATTTTCATGCTAGATCTAAGCATATTGATGTGAGGTACCATTGGATATGAGATGTTCTTGAAGCTAAATTGTTAGATCTTGAGAAGATACACACTGATGATAATGATGCTGATATGTTGATGAAATCCTTACCAAGAGGAAAGTTTGAAGCATGCTACTTGACCGTCGGGATGGAGCAATGATAAACTATTCGATCGGATACCTATCCGTGGTTCAATTAAGCTTATTTTTGGACAGAAGCTTAGGAACAAGGTGTTCTTGAATTTGTACGGTCAAATTTTTAATCCGAGTCCTGTAGTGATGGAAAACGTCAATTTACAGTAGCTGCATTTTTTGTGATATTCTTCCATTTCTCTTTGTTTTTGCTAAAGATTACATATTGTTAGTCTTGTTGGAGTCGATGCTTGTTGTAGGCTTAATATTGTAATCTTGTAGTTGAACATTGGATGATAGTGGAGCTTTTGATAGGACTCTAAAGTCCCATGGTTTTTACCATTGATTTAGAGGGGTTTTCCACTTAAAATATCGGTGTCTTGATTTATTTGCATTGTGGTTGCATTGGTTGATTTGTGGTTAAATAGTGTTGCTAGAGATCATATTTTGTGTTATAGTTGTTCCCATAATTTTTTATAGGAGTTATAGGGAGACAAAGAACACCTTTGTGCTTCCGCTTGTGTTCGGTTGTTTGGTTTCTTCCCCAACAGAGACATCTCATTTTGAGGCATCCCTACAATCACCTTAATATCATCAAATGATAAGGGTGTCTTAGGGACATATCTATTTGTACAAATGAAGGCAATTAGAACGAGAGTGATTTTGACGATTCACTCTTTCTGATTTTGGTCGAGAGCTACAAAATTATTTAACTAGAAAATCTGACAAGAACACCAAATGTCACCTTAGTCATCAAAGTAATCTAATACGAAATCACGGTCAAATAAATTCATATAACACATAGTAGAAGTCCACCCCAACATATTCATCTTACTAAATGGTTCACTGTTCAAGATCTCAAATAACTTCATTTTATTTTAAGGTTATTTAATTAACAGTAATTGAGAGATATAATATATCATATGTTGAGTGCAGCAATGAAGTGTTCATCATTTTCCATGGCCTGAAAGGTCTCAACCGATAGGCAAACTCTAATCTCAATATCTCCTTGTTCAACTCCCGTAGATACGGTTAACAGCCCATCTATCTTGAACTCTGCCCCCAAATTCACTGCAATCGGTCTACCCCATCCAAAATCATTCCCATATATATCAAACCTTGGTGAATTTGCAATTAACAAAGCATTGTTCATCATTGCCCCTCCTTGGAACAGCAAAGGCCTATTTACCCATGACTTGAAACACTTTCTCAAGTTTTCCTCACTCTGATTCCCAACAATCTGGTTGATTTCCCATGCAGCATTTCCAAACCCCTTCCCCACCAGCTCTCCTACTTTCAAACTCACCATTGCACCTTGAATTGCATTCCCAAAATACTCTTCTGCTACCTGCTGCAATTTTTGTCTAACTCCAATTACTAAGAAAATCATGGTCTCTTGCTTTGGATCAGACTGCCGATTTCGAACGATAGATTGCCAAAATAGAGACAAGAGTGCTTGAAGAGATGAAATCTTGTTGGTCTTCATCTCAGCATTAACTTTTCCTTTTATTCTCACAATTCTCTGTTTTGTAAAATAAAAAACTCTTAATTTCAAATTATCTGGTTGAAAGGAATGTTCTTGAATTTGCTCCTGTTTTAATGGAATCCGAATAGGGTAATCTATATCATCAATGACCGGTCTGTTAAATAAGGGAAGCTTAGATAAATAATCAAAACCACGAGAAATTTCGGACCAAGAATTAAAGAAATGCCAAAACGAACAACCATCCACAACAGAATGATTGATACTGCAACCAATGGAAATGCCATCGGCAAGCTCAGTTACTTGCACAGCAAGCAATGGTTTTGAAGTGCCCTCAATGTTCTTAACTCCGTCGAATTGGAAGAAGGCGTCGATAATTTCGGGAACATAGACAGGTTCCAAGAGATCGGATACCTGTAGTTGCTCAGCTATGGCATGGACAAACAAGGCTCCGGCATTGTTGCAGTCGATGAAAAAGGAAGTGGTTTGATCATCATGTTTAAGAGTGGCAAGGCGACCGGCAAGCGGAGGAAAGAAGTGGAGCGTACGTGAAAGGGAGGTTTTCAAGTGGTGGATTATGGCGTTTTGGGGTTCATCAGCCTTGGGTTTAGGCTTGTGGAAGAGCACTCCTTCCTGGATGTAGCTAACTAATAGGTGTTTGAGGTCCCATGGTGTTAGCTCTATTCTCTCAGTTTCTTTGCTGGGATTCCCTGCCTGGATCATACTCGACGAAATGAAGCGGATGTCTGCCATTATATTCCCCGCAAGCTTCACAATTTTCCTACATAGAAATCTAATATGAAAATTGAAATTCAAATTTGGATTGTTTCTTATAGTTGATCTTGGTTAACATTTATGGCTTTCAATTTTTTTTTGTAACTTTTCCTTTCTCGGTTTGATGTTAGTGTGAAGGGTTCAGGAACGTAATTATGCATAAATGAACTTTATCAACCTCATCATTTAATTCAACCAAGCTCAACCGTAATATTTCTAATCAAATTAGTATTTAACTTAATTTATAATTAAAATTCCGTTCAAGTGGCCTTAGTGGTAAAAGAAATGTTAACCTCTTACAAGTTCAAAAATTTCAAATAAATATTATCTTATTATCACCTCAAACTATTCAAAAAACTAAAATTAATTTTATAAAAATAAATAAATTATAACCTTTACGCAAATATTCATATAATGTGCCATTCACTCTATTTGAATGAGATAATTTAAAAATAAAAAAATATTAAAATAAAAAAATAATTCTTTTAATTTTGAAGTTCTTTTCAAGAACCAAATATCTTTGAACATCTGATTTTGGATGTTGCTATAATTGTGTTGCATCGTCTGCTTAATGGGTAGAATCATGTATATGGTAAAATTATATGTCAATTTTTATTATATTGGAAGGTTTAAGGCACATATGCAATGTCGATAACTTCAATGTGAAGTTTTATTAGTAAAAGAATCTTGTGGAGAGACAAATATATATATAGTTTAGGGGGTGTATATCGTTAAATAAAAATTAAGCTTATATATAGTCTCCAAAGGTAATAAAAAAAGTAAAGTACTTGAATGACCACTCAATTATGGGGTTAGTGTCAATATGATCATTATTTTTCAAAATTACGTCAATATGACCATCATTATATAAATTATGTCAATATGACCACTTAACTATTTAATTGGTTTCAATATAATCACATGTCGTGGTTAAGATGTGTGCAGACTACCTTTGAGATCTTGGTTTGATTTCCCGTGGCTTCAAAACACAAATTATAATTATTTTCTCTTCAGCTCAAAAGGTGAAAAAAATCACCTTCTGATTGGATTAAAAATTTATTAAATTAATTAAATTAAAATTAAAAAATGTAATCAGGTTGTGATATGTGTCACAATTTGATTGGGGAAACAAATTTATTAAATTAAGTTAAAATTAGGACCAAAATGGAAGGATGTATAAGTTATAAAGATTAAATATGTAATTATATTATTTTTTAACTGACACGTAAGCACTTACGTTAAACGTCAACTGAAGTCAATTAAATAGTTAGGTGGTCATAATAATGTAATTTTGAAAATGGTGGTCATATCAATACCAACCCCATAATTGGGTGGTCATTCTAGTAGTTTACCCATAAAAAATCAATTTAAATTTTATTTTTTTTATCTAATTGAATTTTTAATGCATAAAATAAAATAAATTAAATTTGAATCAATTAAACTATTTGATCAATTTTAACAGTTTATTTAAAAATTATTATTACATGGCATATTAAAATTTTATCACGTAAAATTTCCAAATCTTTTTTTTACAAAATTCTTTAATTATTAAAATTTTCAAACGGTTCTAAAAAAATTAAAATGTCACTTGAAAATATTTTAGTATGATATAGAACGTGAATTGATCTAAAAATAACTAGATTTCATTGTTAACATCAATAAAAAAGAATACAATGGTAATATTTTGAAGTGTAAGATCTTAATTAGATGAAAATTGTATATACTTAATTTATTTTTAAAAAATGTTTGAGAACTCATTCCTTAAGCACAAAATTAAAAGATAGATATTTATCAGAATTATAATTATTATAAAAAATTAAAATATATATTTTCTAAAAATCTAATATGAAATTGATATGATGATAACATGATTTGAAAATCCTTTTCGATATAAAAACTATAAGTATCCCTATTAGAAAATAAAAAATTTAAATACCTGAAAAATCTCAAAAAGTAAATCGTTTGTATGAACAAGAAATTTTTATATTCTAATTTTTATTCAATGAAATAACAAAACCGAATTGAATTTAATAGTATTGAATTATGCAGTTACAAACATTCAATAAATCAAAAATTCAATAAACAAATATGTGAAGTTGAATTTCATATGAACCTTTTGAGACATTGAGCGGGTTCCACTCCATTACAATTTGAATTTTTAGGGTCTATCTTGCTGGAAATAAACTTGTTTTTTATTAAAGAATTAAATGTGTCAGTTTAATTAATTAAACTTGTGAGTTTACTTGAGTTCATATACTCACTTCATTAAATAGGAGATTATTAATATTAAATTTGAGTTTAAGTTATGATGAATGTAAATCCTATATATAAGTATTGTAATGCACATTGCAATGTGTGGAAAATAAAGAGAAACACTTCTTATAAAGGTTGTTCAATTGCCTTTTCTCTCATTTCTTATTTTGTGGAAATTCATATATTTTATTTTCCAATAAAGTGACATCAGAGCTAGATTATGAAGAAACGTTTACTTCCATTTCATTATCATCTTCTTACGAAAGACAGGTACGATAGTTGGTCTATTCATGTGAAATCAATTCTTGGATCATAGGGTTCTTGGGATATTGTTTCTAGCGGGTATGAGGTACCTGAAGATGAAACAACCTTGAATCAAGGTCAAAAAGATATTCTAGAAAAATCAAAAGAAAGATCAACATGCTCTTTCGATAATCCATCAATGTTTGGATGATTCGACCTTTGAAAAGGTGGCCAATGCAACAACCTCAAAGGAAGTGTGGGATATTCTTTTGAATTCCTTTAAGGGCGCAGAGAAAATGATAAAGATTTGTCTCCAGACATTCTGAAGTGAATTTGAAGCACTTCGCATGAATGAATCAGAGACCATATTTGATTATTTTTCTAGAGTACAAGTTGTTGCTAACCAATTGAAGAGGAATGGATAAGAAATGCTCGAGATTCGAGTAATTGAAAAGATTCTTCGATCTTTAAATCCAAAATTTAAACACATTGTTGTTGCTATTGAAGAATCTAAGGACCTAGAATTTATGTCCATTGAACAATTAAGTGGTTCACACAAGCTCGTGAAGAGAGGTTGAACATAAGTAAGGCCGACTATATAGAGCAAGTCTTGCAAGTGAAGTTGTCCATTCAGTCTAAGGGAGAAAAAAGTGAACAAGGTGAGGCTGGTCCAATAGGCCTTAGAAGATGACATGGACAAAGTAAAGGACATGAACAAGGAACAAGGGGTGGTCAGAATTCATTCAAGAATATTGAAAAAGATCAAAACTCATCAAGAGGTCGTGGACGTAGACATGGAAGAGGAAATTATGGGAATAAAAGGTATGAAAAATCCCATGTACAATGCTACAATTGTCAGAAATTTGGTCACTACGCTTCATAATATTGGGCTAGAAATGAAGAAACAAGTGAAAAGATAAACATGATAGAGACGAAAGAAGACACCGCTGAGGCTAAGTTGTTGTTAGCTATGAAATGGGAGGACAAGATGATGGTTATTGGTATCTTGATACTGGTGCTAGAAATCATATGTGTGGCGATAAGAACAAATTTATAACATTAAAAGAGTATTATGATGAAATCACATTTGGAGATTCTTCCAAGATTAAAATCAAAGGAAAATGTGTTGTCTTAATTTCCCTAAAAAATGGTGACCAGAAACTTATCACAGACATATAATATGTTCTAAAATTAAAATGTAATATTTTAAGTTTGGGACAACTCTTAGAAAAAGGCTATGAGAACCAAATGAAAAATCATAGTCTTACTCTAAGTGACAAAAATGTCATGCCTATTGCAAAAGTTGTTATGACAAGAAACATAATGTTCTTGTTAAATCTTAAAATTGACACAGCCAAGTGTTTGAAGGCTTGTGTGGAACATTCTTTTTGGATATGAGATATGGGAATTTGAATTTTGGTGGTCTTAAATCTCTTGGAGAGAAGAAGATAATCAAAGGTCTTTCCTATCAAATATTTGGAGCAACTTTGTGAAGCTTGTGTCCTTGCAAGCATGCAAGGAATAGCTTTCCAAAGTAATCATCTTCTAGAGCAACAGTGCCACTCCAACTTAATCATGCAGATTTATATGGACCCATCAAACCATCCTCTCTTGGTAAAAGTGATTATTTATTGCTTTTTACTGATGATTTTAGTAGAAGGTCATGGGTATATTTTCTTAAAAATAAATCTAAAGCTTTTGATGAATTTAAAAGATTAAAAATAATGGTGGAAAATCAAATTGGTTATATGATCAAAGCTTTGAGAATTGATAGAGGAGGTGAATTCACATCAAAAGAGTTCAATGTGTTTTGCAAGAACCATGGAATTCATCATCCTTTAACGATTGATAGTTCTCCACAACAAAATGGTGTTGCAGAAAGGAAGAATAGAACAATTCTCAATATGGTTAGAATTATGTTAAAAAGTAAACAAATGCCTAATGAATTTTAGGTAGAAGTCGTTTCTTGTGCAGTTTATCTTTCTAACAGATGTCCTACCAAGAGTTTGAAGGATAAAACACCTCAAGAAGCTTGGAGCGGAAATAAGCCTAATGTCTCACATTTGCGAGTCTTTGGGAGTATTGCATATGCTCATATTCCTGAATAAGAGAGATCCAAGCTTGATGACATAAGTAGGAGATGTGTCTTTATTGGCTAGGACTCAAATTCTAAAGGATATATGTTGTTCTAGCTAGATACAAAGAAGGTGATTATCAATAGAGATGTAGAGTTTGATGAACAAAGTACTAGGGATTGAATGATCTAAAAGAAAATTTGTATGACTTCTTTCCATAATTTGACACTGAAGATTATGAGATGGATGATCAACTACCACCACCTCCTACACAAGATTTAATAGAGAATATTGTACTATATCCAAATGAATTAGAATAAGTTGTAGATGTTCGAAGATCAACAAGGGGGAGGAGATTTCCAGAAAGGTATAAAGATTATTATTTAGAAAATAATGACAATCCTTCACTTTTCTGTTTATTTGCAGACAATAAACCATTAAGTTTTAAAGAATCTATGAAAAAATGGATAAATGGAGACATGCTATGAATGAGAAAATTGATGATATCAAGAAGAATAAGATTTGGAAGTTATCTACCTTACCTGAAGGTCATAAACCCATCAGTGTAAAGTGGACATTTAAAAAAAAATATGCCAATGGAAAACTTGAGAGGTATAAAGCAAGACTTGTTGCAAAAGGCTACACACAGAAGCAAGGTGTAGATTATGATGAGGCATTTGCTCATGTTGCTCTTATGTAAACAATCAAATTACTAATTTCTATTATTGCTCAGAAAAAATGGAAAATTCATCAACTTGATGTGAAGTCAGCTTTTATGAACGGTTTCCTTGAAGAAGAAATTTATGTTGAATAACCAGAAGGTTTTGTAATTGAAGGAAAAGAAGAGAAGGTCTTGAAGTTGTAGAAGGCTTTATATGGCCTAAAGCAAGCACCAAGATATTGGAATAGTAAATTTGACAAGTATTTTCAAGATAATGGATTTAAAAGGTGCACTCATGAGTATACACTTTATGTTAAAATCCATGAACATGATATTTTGTTTGTTTTTCTTTACGGAGATGATCTCATTTTCTTAGGGAGCAACCCAACAATGATTGAAGATTTTAAAAGGGGTGTGTCAAAAGAATTTGAAACGACTGATTTAGGGCTCATATTTTATTATTTGGGCCTCGAGGTGAAGCAAACCAATACTGAAATTTTCGTTTCTCAAGAAAACTATTGCAAGAAAGTACTTAAGAAGTTTAACATGCTTGGGTGTAAGCTTGTTAATACACTGATGGAATATGGAGTGAAGCTTATGGGATACTGTGATAGTGATTTTAGAGGAGATAAAGATGATAGAAAAAACACTAGCGGATATGTATTTTTCATGGGAGATACAATTGTCTCATGGAGTTCTAAGAAGCAATCAATTGTGGCACTTTCTAGTTGTGAAGCTAAGTATGTTGTTGTTACATCTTGTGCTTGTCATGCTATTTGGCTACAAAGATTGTTGACTGAAATTCAACTCCCACAAGAAAATGCTAAAAAGATTTATAACAAGTTTGCTCTAGCTCTTGCAAAGAATCTAGTATTTCATGATCGAAGTAAACACATAGACACACGATATCACTTTATTCATAAATGTGTTGGAAAGAAAGAAGTGCATCTAGATTACATAAGTCCTCTTGACCAAGTTGCAGATATTTTCACCAAGCCCCTAAAGTATGATGTATTTTGCAAGTTCTGGAGGTTGTTAGGAGTTTGTCGAAATCAAGTTTAAGAGGGATGTTAGAAATTAAACTTTTTTTAATTAAAGAATTAAATGTTTCAGTTTAATTAGTTAAACTTGTGAGTTTAGTTGAGTTCATAAACCCACTTCATTATATATACGTATTGTAATGCACATTGCAATGTATGAAAAATAAAGAGAAACCCTTCTTATAAAGGTTATTCAATTACCTCTTCTCTCATTTCTTATTTTGTGAGAATTCATAAATTTTATTTTCCAGCACATCTAAATTTTCTCTGTAAAATTCATGTGACCCAAAAAAGCTACATTAAATATTCAAAATTTATATTTGTTGAACTTAACATACAATTATCTGCCCTAAAGATTCTACGAAACGATACGGAAGTGACAATCATGATTATCCTCTTATCTTAAGTACATTAAGATGTTATCAATAAACACTACCACAAATTGATCATGATACGCCTGGAAGACCTTATTCATAAGATCCATGAAAGTCGACTGTGCATTATTGAATCCAAACACAATCACCAAAAACTCATAGTAACCGTAGCGTATTCTAAACGTCATATTCACCATATCAACCTCCTTAACCTTCAACTAATAATATCCTAATCTCAAATCAATCTTTAAAAATACTTTAACTCCCTTGAGCTAATCGAACAAGTAATCTATTCTTGGAGGAGGATATTTGTTTTTAATGGTTACCATATTAGGTTGTTAGTAATCAATACACAACCATATGGATCTATCTTTCTTCTTTACAAATAACATCGATGCTCTCTATAGAGAGATAGTAAGGCAAATGAATCCACGATCCAACAAGTCTTAAAGTTGAACCTTTAACTCCCACAATTCGATCAGCACTATGTAATAGGTTGCGATGGACACCAAAGTTGAGCTAGGCATCACATCGATTCCACACTCAAATTCTCTATCTGGTGATAAATCTAGAATCTCCTCAAGAAACATATCGAAAAGTTCAATGATTGTTCGAAGGTCCTTAATAATTGAACTGAAAATCCTAGAATCCACAACATGGGCTAAATAGGCATCACAACCCCCTTCGATCATTTTCCAAGTCGTCATCGTCAAAATCACATTGATGATGACTTCCACTTATCATTTTAGATCAAGAACTTACCATTCAAGTCACTAAGCTTTAATTATTTTGTCCAACACCTTAAGCTAGCATCATGTTCGAAAAATCAATTCATACCTAGACTCACATCGAAATCTAAAAAATGCAGCTTTATTTGATCAGATGAAAATATTTTACCTTGAATCTCTATTGGACATATTCGGCAGACCTTGTCTACCAGTACAGTCTAACCTAGAGGGCTTAGACACATGGACCCCACTTCTGTAATCAAACTTTCATCGCCCGAAACACACAATCTAATGAAAATTGCACATAACTCTACCATAAATTTTCTACTCAACACATATGCTAATATATCAACTTTCTGGAGATGATATGCAGTGAAAAAATCATAATCTTTCAAAACTCAATCTATCTTCTTTGCCTTAAGCTCTTTTTTGGTGAGGAGATATTTAAGACTCTTATAATCAGTGTAAATGATACACCTCTCGCTATATAAATAATGACATCAAATCATAAGCACAAATACAATGGTTGCAATGAGTAGAAAAATTATGCTCATAGTTTCAACTGTCTAAACTCTTAAGCCACCATTTTTCCTTTTTGTATCAATACATTCCAAGACCCCATGTATGGCATATCATTATATATCATAGAATCTTTTCTGAACTCAAGTTGAATCAAAATCAGAGTTCTCGTTAATAGATCATTGACCTTCTCAAAACTCTTGCTTTTCCTTTAATCACTTGTAAACATTCTTTTTACAACAATTTCGTCAAAAGAGCAACAATAATAAAAAATTCTTCAACAAAACTACGATAATAAAAAATTTTCCTTCAAAATATAGAGGATAACACAGAGATGTACATCATGATCTTCCCCCGACAAGAATACAATAGGATATCGTCAATGAACACAACAACAATCTGATCCAAGCATAGATGAAACATACGATTCATCAAGTCTATAAACGCAACTAAGGCATTAATCAAAACAAAAAGTATGACAAGAAACTTATAGTGATTATACCTCATCTTATACGTCGTTTTAAAAATATCTCACTCCCTAACTTACAATTAATAATAATCGGACATCAAATCAATCTTGAAAAATACTTTGACCCTACATAACTAATTAAAAAGATCTTTGACATATTCTTCTTTACAAATAAAATTGAAGCACCTCACAAAAACATGCTTGCATCAATTAAACTATCAACTCTTTCAATTCTGCATCAATTAAACTATCAACTCTTTCAATTCTGCCAACGCCATTTGCTACGGTGCAATGGACACCGGATTAGAACCAAGATACACCTCAATACTGAAACTCAATCCTGATAATTCTTCTAAAATCACATTTGAAAAATCTCTAACAGCTCGAATATCACACTTGCAAATCCTTACTCCTGGAATTTAGGAAAGAGATAAACTTCGCAACCTTTATTCACCAACCTATCTGCCTCAATCGCAAAGATAACATGAAAAAGGAACTCGGCCCTTTCACCGACAACCACAAACTCCAAACCATTCTAATCAAACATCGAAACAAAATCCACGTGCATATGATGTTCAATCAACTAATCCATACACAAGATAAAATCAAAACCAAGAAACGATAATTACATCAAATCAACGGAAAATATACGTCCTTGTATCATTAATAGACACCTACAGTATAACCCAAGACTCTACTTACAATCATACCATATCACTAGGCTTGACTGTAATCAAGTTATTGTATTATTTTTGTAATATGCAATCATTCTTCTGTATTATATAATCTTAGGAATGATTAAAAAACTAAAACTGGAAAGAAAAAAGCTGATGAGGTGAGAAAGAGAGGCCTGAACTTTTGGTTGCTTTAGACTAAATGTTCACCTATTTTATCTACTTCTGCTCTGAATTTATACAAAAACCGACAGATGATATGTTGTAGCGGCTTCGGCTGCAAAGTCCTAACTACAAAACAAGTTAGCACAACCCTGACCGACACTTCTTCCTTTTCAGTATTTAATTAACCAAAATTCTTCCTCTTCCTAAATGTCCAACTCAAAACCAATTGTTTTCATTTTCTTTATATTAAATCTACGAGTATATAATTTATTATCTAACTAGAGATGATAAAATTGAATCATATGATGAATTTCGAATACAGACCTATTATAAACTATATCAGTAATGTCACCTTTTATTACTTAAATTCTGAGAACTAAAACTTCACATTAGGAGATACAAAAACTCAACTTTGAAGTTTTGAAGTTCACAATGAAAATGTAGCCAAACGATTATCAATCATTGTGTACATAGAGTGGTAAATTTGCCATACCAAATTTGGACCATGGATGTATATTGAAAAGAACAATACTGCTGCTTTAGAACATTTTCCCGATACCATCTTTCCTTGGAACAGATTCACCAACATCCATTCGTTGCCAGCTCCCGACCAACGAAGCCATTTGATCAACCTTATCAAACAATCCCAGGAGTCCACCTGTGTGTATGAAAAGGACCTTTCTCCCTTCCCACTTTTTTGGATTCTCTGCCATATCTTTCATCATCCCATATGCAGCTTTCCCACTAACCACCAAAAAAAAAACAGAGTTAAGAGAAAATCTTCTTTCAAAATTGAACCTCTACATAATTCTAGGTCTAATAAATTGCTAGGTTTCTATTGCACCATGCTAATTGTCGAACAAATATCTGATGGGAAGATTAGTTTGATTAAGCCATCCAATCATCATGACATATACTGCATAGATATAGCCATCCAATTTAAATTTTTTAGTTGCCCTCTGCATTACAAGACATGTGTCCAAAAGTATAAAGCCTGAATATCATAGCCCCACGGGAATATATACCAACTAAATAACTATGAGATGAGTTTTCATTTTTTCTTTGTTCTTTAAAAAAAATCATTCAAAGGGAACAAAATTTAAATTGCTAACATGTAGAAGATAACTTTTATACCTGTATACAGGGTCAAGAACAACACCCGTTGCAGCAGCAACTTCCATCACAAATTTGAGCTCCTCGGACGTGCTCATTGCATAACCTAGTCCTTTAGCCTGTAAAGAGAATTTTTACAACATTTTACATATTATGTTCAATAAACTACAGCAAGTTCATGACATCTGTCATATTATAAGATAAGCTTTGGCTACAAGAATTTATCTCCATCTGATGCATATAATAAACTAGGGGGAATCAAATAGGCATAGTCTACAATTTAGGTATTGACCTTAGGTCTTGACCAGAATGACCAACCTAACTGTCCGAACCCAATTCAACTTGATATCTCAGCGAAAGTAAAAAAGCCAAGCCACCCAAGGTGAACCCAAAACCTAACCCAGCTACAGTCAGTGCGATTGGCACTGCAAGAAACTGTTAGGGGTGTTTGAATTGTCTCATTGGGTTCCCAAACATTTAAAGTGGTTTTCTTCGTGTTTTTTCTAAAATAATTTTATTAACACTGATGTAGCATCAGTATTGCAATATAGACATTTTTATAACCCCTGAATACAAAAATGTGACAAAATAACTAAAGTGAAAAAAAAAAGTTAAAGAACCAAACAGAACAATTGAAAAGTTAGGGGTGAAGGGTAAAAGATTAGGCACAAATGATATTTAGCTTATATTATGTCGAACCATGTATGGATATAACCAGGGGTGGAGGAATGATTTTATGTTAGGGGAGGCGAACTTATAAAACTCCAAGTGGCAAAAACAGATTTTCAATAAAAAAATACATAGAAAAATCTAAAATATATGGAAATTCTAAATTTTCAGGGGGCGAATGCCCCCCCCCCCAGTTCATCCCTCTCATATAGCAAACGGAATACTTATCAAACCCTTGCTATATGGTGCACTTCTAAAATGTTCGATACATCTCCATGAGTTTGGGTGACAGTCCTAATTTTCCTCTATTCTAGCAAACCGCCCCCAGGTTCTACATATAAACAGTCTCAGAATTTCAACTATAAAAAATTATACTATTTATACGAGTTCACTATTGAGATTTAGGACCTGAAACAAATTAGAAGTCTCAAGCCTATTCTAGAAACTTGATATTTCTGCAGCATATAAAAAATAGCAAACAAAACTAAACGTAATAAGTAGTAGTATGTCTAAGCTGTTACAACATGTATGAAGCATAGAGTAGTGTAGGGAAACTATGAAAAGCTGAGTGATGAACAGAACAAATTATAAGGCATTAAAACTTTCCCCAACATAGGTTAAAATGAGGACTTGTAAGGAAGTACCAAAATAAAATGAAAATTTTCACATTGTCAAAGAATATGCATATTTAAAAGAGAGAAAAAATAAAGTCGAAATCCAATGAATCAAGCTAAATCTCACATTTATGATGCTGACAATATCACGGGCATTAACACCTGCTTCAAGTCCATCAATCAAGTCTTGAACAAAGTCATAGAAGTAATAAGGATCGTCACAAACGCAGAAAGCATGAACCTAAATTGTCAGTAAAAAAAATATAAATCAATTTACTTATGGAGAAATGTAAGTGTTAATATATGGATAAGAATACACACTTTTGACTTCAATTCTCCAAGCCATGATCCCAATGAAAGACCAGCAATTGTACCGCCACTAAAAATCAGTAAAAAAAATGTCACTCAACATTGCTTTTGTCTATGATCTGGAGCAAAGCGCAAATGACAGCCAAACATAAAACGTAAATTAATTAAAGATCACAAGTCTAATCAACTTTAATGCATTTACAACCACATATCTAAAATGGACTCACTAACATAAATTCCTATAACACTAAATGAAAAGGAGTAGCACATGAAAAGGAAGAAACAAAATCCAAAATCACCACAGCAAGAACAAAATTTAATAAATCAAGACTAAATTTACCTAAAAACATAATTCAAAATAGCTTAAGTAAGGTACAGCTACACTCTCATTGTTTTAATGCATTAGTGATATCCAGATATAAAACTCACAAACACCATTAACATAAATAAAATCAAAGTTAATGAGGCATCATAGTTTCATGCTATAATACTTTCACCAAGTCTTTTTTTATAGCCTAGGTATCCACCGCTGATAGTGGTGAGCCGGTGACTACTCCCCTCGTTGACGGTGCTCTCACAGTCTCACTAAGAGTAAGTGGTAAACGACTGGCCATGAAATATACTCCATTCCAATGGATGGGGATCGAACCCCAGAACTCATGATTAAGGGGCAAAATTAAATCTAAAAAAACATTCATTGAACATGGTCCATGAAAGATAAAGCACCATACTACAGGAAAAATGTAATACTTGAATAGAATAGAACCTGCCACATGCAACAACAATATCATCAAATTTTACTCCACTGCTTCTTATCTGAAGTTGCTCCTCAATTTCCCTCACTGCCTCAATATAGCCCCTAAAGATAGCAAATATAGTTATCTGGTTGTATTGGATTTAGAAAAGGAATAAATACTTCAAAAGCTTAGCAACCGTTGACAAGGAGAAAATGAAGATCAAAGGAACCTACAGTACAATCTCCTTGAAAAATAAAACGTTGAATTATTAAGGCCCTACTACAGTCAACTTCTTGAATAAAAGATCATAAGTTCTTTCAATTGAATGATCCATATATTCATCCATAAAATCAAATTGCTATTACAACGACAGGAAGGCATCTTATCAATTTAATTCAATTTTCAATACTCATGCATACACTTATATTTTCTGTCTGCAACATATGAACATTTGCCCAAGGTCCATTGAGTGCTATTTTAAATTAGTTTGAGTTATTAGTTATATCAAGTGACTTTTAGTGTATATTTATGAAATCATGCTCCTAAGTCATTATTTTAGAGAACAAAATCCATGTAAAACAAGTTACTATAATTAAAAAATAAGAGAAAAAAGGAAAATACCAAACACCAAAAACAAAAAAATTTCTCATGTTATTGCACTTGTCACCAAAAAATTCACACAACATCTAAATAGGGGTTAATGAAAAATGAGTTTGTAAGAGAACAGATAGTGATTTTGTACAGCTACCAAGGAAAATAATTCAAGTGCAAATGACATGCGATGGAAATTAAGTATAAACTATGACAGATGTTCACCAGGTTCCCAAGGAGTTTGATCCACCAACGGGAATAACATAAGGCTTTCGGCCTTCCTTCATCAATTGTTCTTTCAAAACATTAGTAAGGGCCTGGCACATAAAATTTCATATACGCTGAATTAGAAAGGCAGCATAATTCATTAGCATATAAGAATTTTCAATTCAATCACGTAGGCACTGGATCCTACAATCTAGAAGCAGGATCATTGGTAGCATGTAACTCAAAATAATTCTCAAGAAATCGTCAACAAACTATTACTTGAGCCATCTGATAAAAGCAAACCCAAAATCAAAATATTTCTGATAGTAATTGAAAACCAACAAAGACTCTCATATCAAATATATCATGAGAAAGTCGGAAACTAACAACACTCCCTATTTTTGAATATTCTTCTTTTGAAATAAGATGAATATGAGCGCCCACAAAACGCTCCACCAGCAGGTTGCCTGTCAATCCAGGATCCTTATCAACAAGAAGCTGCAACAACCAACTGGTTAAGCAAAAGAATATATGGTAACAAATAAATAAATAAAATATATGAGGAAGGTAAGAGTAGAACCTTGGAGGTGCGGAGTATAAGATAAGAGTCTAGGTTCAAATACTTAGCAGCGACGGCGGTGGCGCGACAGTGGTTGCTTTGGATGCCGCCGATTGTAATGATGCAATCAGCACCCTGTTCCACTGCTTCCGCCAATAAGAACTCCAACTTCCTGACTTTGTTACCGCTCAATTGCATGCCTGAAAGATCGTCACGCTGCATGTTCAAAAATCATCAGTACCAAACAACAACAAAAAATTTACATTAAAAAAAAGAAAAAGAAAATTTACCTTCAGCCAAACCTCGGTGTTTTGGGGCAAATTAGGCAGATTCCACTTATGAATTGGAGTAGGGAGCTGAAAAAGAAGAAATAAGATTTGGGTGTTTTGCAAAGAAAAGAAAAACATGCAGGTACTTACATGAGCGAGAGAGAAGGCATGGGAAGGGATGGGTTTGAGATGGGATGCCCAAGGAGGAGGAGAGTAGGGCTTCTTGCTGAGGAAATCATCAAAGCTTAGTGCCTTAGCTTTGGTTTCCATTGTGTGATACTGAGACTGAGAGCAGTGGACTCTGCTGCGTTTGGGAACTACTGGTTTGGGTTTTCCAAAGACCGGAATAGAATGGTTGAAAACAGGCAGATGCAAGGGCGAAGGGATTGCAGTTAGCCTAGCTGAAGTTGAAGCTGACTGCATAGAATCTATCATCCAAAAGCATCAATGAGTAATAGAAAATTGCATTACAAAACAACTTGAAAATTTCTAGCTAATTATGATAAGAAAAATGGACTATAGTTTGGTAGGTTTGGGCTTGGAGCATAGACTTTTGAAAGAGAAAACCCAAAGGCAAAATTGGCCCAACAGGGCAAATGGAGAAAATAATTAGCCCAATAAAGCATGCAAGAATTTATTTTGGGATCTAAGTTATTTGCTACAGTATTCCTGGAATTTTTCATGTCGAGGTGACAAGTTTTAATAAAAATATATTTTATTCGATCGATTTGTCTAACTGAATATTTAATTATTTTCCTTGAAATTCATCACCTCGATGTGATGAGTTCTATTAACATAATATTTTTTAAAATTCTATTATAGAGGTTTTAAAAAAAAGTGAAAAAAATAAACAGAACTCGTTATGCTGAGGTGACGAGTTCCTCCTGAGGTTTTATTTAGTTCAAAGTATTAAATGGTGTGATTGAACACTGAAATAAAGTTTGTAATATATTTTGTTTGCAAAAAAACATTACGTTTAGGAGATAAAAATAACGAACCATAAACATTATATTAAGAAGATAAAAAATAACGAACTTAACACATTACGTTAAGGACATAAATACAACAAACCTTACACACACCTTAAACAATAAATAAAATCATAAACATACGATTATTCTTTATGATGTTTTAATCCTCGTAATCAGTAGACTCGTCAGAACTAATATTCAGTTCTTCAATTCTCCATGCTTTTTCTTGTTGTCGTTAACGTACAAACCCTAAACCATGCTTTCAAAACTCCATCATCTATCTTTGTTTCATCATCTATCTTTGTTTCTTCATCATTATTCTTAGTTGGTGGGATATTTGAGCTGGCAGCAACATACTCAACCATATGAGTAAGGTCTACATCAGCGAACTTTACAAACAAATCGACATTAGTTATAGAATTATAGTATTATGTAACAATCAAACCATCAAGGTCGACATCATTGCTTACTTTAAACCTCGTGCATGATAATGACAATTTATAACATAATGAACATATTTTTCTATTGCTTCCGAGTTGAACCCTTCTTTCTATTTTGAACTTCAACTCGTTTAGTTGAATGTTTTTTTAAATACATAGTTATAGATTTGCAATAATAAAAAATTGTTGCAAGAATAGTAGACATGTTAGGAAAAACGTCAAGCTTTGGAAGTTAAAGACTCAAATTTTCTAAGATGTTTTATGTTTCACCTCACACATATTTATAGGCCCTTAGGAAGCGCTTCCTATATGATGAGCTGATATAACAAAATAATAAGGCTTATGAAAAACTATATAACATTAAATATAAAAAATAGGTTTATATACGTCATTGTCTAATAATAGTGAAATGAAGTGATATATCACTGAAAAAGTTTCTGAAGTGAAGTGATTGGGCACTGAAAAGTTATTATCATTGTGTATTAAATGATGTATGAGAAAATGACATATTAAATGGTCATTGATGATAAATCGTTTTTAAAAGTTTTTTAAATGAAGTGATATATCACTGAAAAAGTTTCGAAAGTGAAATAATTAGGAAGTGAAAAGTTTTTGAATGAAGTGATATATCACTGAAAATTTTATGTCATCAAATTGAATGGTCATTGATGATAGCTCGTTTTTCTTTTAAATTTGCGTATGTTATATGAATTTGCACAAAACTTCTACTTTCTACAACTTCATTAAACCACCAAAAACTTTTCTCAAGCAATGGCTAACAAAATTTTCACAGTTGTCTATTCAAATGGCCAAATTTTACAAAATGATGATGTTGTCGTGTTTAAGTCACAGAGGCACGTAAACATGATGTTCTCGATAGATGTATCTCCTCGCCACATAAAGCAAAAAATTGAAAGAAAACTTGGAGCTTATATTTCATGCTTGAGTTATAGACACATAATTTTAGAGACTCCAATCATATATGGAGTGATCCAGCTTGATGATGATGACGATGTTGCTGTGATGGTTAGACTGCATCAATCTTCAAATAATCAAATAATAGAGATATACGCTAAAAAAACAAATGCTTCAGAGGTTCCTACCTTATTAATAGTTACGTTCGTCTTTGAAGAAGCAAGACTATCAGTATATGATAACCTTGTCGGTCGATTCGGTGAAAGCCTTGTTGAGTTTAGCGAGGATGATGAAACTTTTATTCCAATGATAGTAGACGATGACACACCAATAATTGATGATTCTGATATCGTTGAGGCTGCTTTAGAGGGAAAATGTTTGATTTGAGGGTGATGTCTAGGAGACAGCGGTTTCACGGGTCATGCATTGTAGAATGATGATAACTCCGTAAAAAGGTTGTATTTAGGACCTTTTTACTTAAGTTATTGATTGTCTTAAGGCACATTTAGGACCATATAGATGCATTTAGGATCATGTAGTTGCATATGGTGGATTTAATTAGTTGTGACATTTTTATTTTGCAAATGGTGTTGCTTTACGAGAAAGGTTGTGTCTGGTTGATTATGTGTAGATCGTAAATCAAAAGGGTGTGTGAGGAGAATTGTCGTGGTAAACTGAGATGCTGAAGCAGAATGGAAATGCTACAGTAACTAAGATGATATTTCTAGGCGCAGAAAAAGACAAAAGAGCTTAAGATATTTTCATACAAGAGCCAATTATCCAACCATCACGTGATTCCTGCTACCAGCCACCTAGGAGGGGACCACTAACACCTTTGTACTCCATTTTCACTTCTAGGGGATGTACCTTAGGGTCTCATTGTCATTTTGGCACAAAACTATAGGTATATTCACTTGGTATAAATAGATTAAGACACCCCAAAAAGGGATTCATATTCTTAGGGAAAAAATGAGAAAAAACTAGAGGAAAAAGGTGGCACCAAGTTTCCAATTTTTTTCTAATCCCTTTTGTGGTGTTCCTCCATTCTCAAGCTTGAGGGATAGGCAAGCTAGGTGTTCGAGAAGAGCTAGCACCACTAAGGTGGTTCGTGGTGGTCGAGGGAACTCCGGCAGCGCGCGTTGGGACATGTTCCTCTCTCTTATGCTTTATTTTTATTCACATTTTATGGGTTGTAAGGAACGGATGATTCTTATGGATTATTCGAACCCCACCATGAAATAACTTTATTTGGTGGGGTTTTTCATGGATGATTAAGTATTTTTCTTTAATGGATGGTTGATATTTTTATGTTTGTTACTTGTTTTGCTTATTATTTTTAATTGCTTAAGATTGTAGGAACTACGAGAGTAGCATTTTCTTAAGTATACTACTTAGTGTTTGAGAGAAATTAAGTTAATGATTTAAAAGAAATTCGCTTTTGTTTTCCTTTAGCACAAGCATCACAGATTTTATCATTATTAAATTTAAGCTTAGGCAACCCTCGAACTAAATTTCCTTGAATTAGCCGTTGCAAAACACTCATACTATCATGTCCTAGTCTCCTATGCCATAACCAACTATCATGCTCATCCTTAGCAACTATGCATAAATTAGTCATATCAATAGATTTTAAATGCACCATGTATATGTTTCCTATTCTATTACCAACAAGCATAATCAAAATAGATGCAATGTCAATCAATTTTGCAAACACTTAATTTAAAAATAAGACATTGTATCTTTTGTCAAATTCATCTAATCGGATTATGCTTTAATCCATTCACATGCAAAACATTATGCAATGTTGATTATCGAGATTGAGAGCACATGCATAAAGTTTTTGAAATGTTATGCATTAAATCTTTATAATATTTTAAAAATCTATGCCTAATCATTAAGAAAATATAAGGTTAAAATTTTGCAAAACCAAAGTTCTTGAAAAATTGATGTCAATTATATTTTAAAAACAATTTTGACCCAAAATTAATATGATGAACTAGAGTTTATAAAACATTACCAAAAATTACTATGTTCATCATGCAATATCTTTCAACATACATGAGATAACAGATAGTCATTTAGAACATTTAAAACCTCATGCATGCATAAACTAAATGAGCAACCAAATAAAATAAATACATTAAGTTTAGAGGTTACCCATTCCTTTTTCATGTGTGGCTAGAGCATATTGAATATCATCATCTTCATCATCATTGCTCCCACACACCTACAAGAGACATTTAAGTAGATTTTGGTATCCAAATTGCTTTGGATCCGTGAATGTTAGTTTCAATGCCCCTTGTTCCTTTTGGAACACATACTTGTCTAATTTTAAATCTTTTTCCTTTCTTTAAATGACAAGTATGTTCCTTATGACCATGATAATAACAATGTGAACATATTGTCATTATTGAACTAGACGAATTATTTAAAAGGATCTCATTTTCTTTTGTTAAGCATTCAAGCTTAATTTTCAAATCAAAATTTTCTTTTTCAATAATTTCAAATTTCATTTTTGAAAGCTCTAAATCCTTCTTCAAGAGTTTATTTTGATTTTCAAAATCCATTTTCGTTTCTAGAAGAAGTTCGTTTAATTTGAAAATTCCTTTTTCAAAGTTTTCAGATTTTAGTTTTGAAAGCTCTAACTCTTTTTCAACATTTCATTTTGTTTTTCCAAGTCTGTTTTAGCTTTCAAAAGAAGATCATTTTTAGCTATAAATTTAGAAATCAAATTCTTATATTTGGAGTTCATGGTCTCAAACTTTGAAAATAATTCATCATAAGCATCTTGTAACTCTTTAAAAGATTTTGAATTTAATTTATTTGAGTTATAAGATACATTTGGCTCTGTGAGAGCTAATAGAGACATTACCTTTATTGGTTCTTCTTCTTCCTTGTCTCCATAGATCTCCTCAAGCTTATCCCACATTACCTTGGCACTTGAACAAGAAGAAACTCCTTTATATATATTAGGATTAATTGCACAACATAACATGTGCATAGCCTTTGTGTTTTGTTGAGCTTCTTCTGTTCTTGATCACTCCACTTTTTTGCCTTTTTCGTAGGAGAAGAATACCCTTTCTCGATTATCATCCAAGCTTCCATATCAAATGCTTGGATAAATATCATCATAA